ACTGTCCCTCCTAGCGTTAGCCAATTTCTAAAGATAGCACATTACCTGCCCCCCTGCCCTCAACACCCAGGGCCAGGTACCAGACAAGTAGGGACAGCCCCTGTGGCCCAGAGCCCTGACATTATTCAAACCAGCCAGTGCTAAACCTGCTTACTCTGCTGCACCTGTTCCTGCCCACAGAAACCACAGTAAAGGCTCATGGCCACAGTCATCCCTTGTCCTCTGCCTCCTGACCGACTCTGGTACTTCCCGGTGCAACGCCTCCCCCCACGGCCTGGCCTGCCCCCTCCTCTCGGGAACTGTAACCAACACTCTGTGCAATGGCAGTGGTCTCCTGATCTGTCGGCCTTACTGTCCCTCAAATTTGCTATACGAATATGCCACATTTTAAAGCATGCGGATGGCCTGGGCTTAAGACTAGGGCTTAAGGGTTGGTTTGGGTTTCGGGTTTGGGTGCTAGCAGGCCAAAGGTGTTGCGGCTCCACTGGACTCCATCCCTGAGCTCAGCAGTCATGCTTCGGAGAACAGTGGGTGAGTGAACACACCTGCGTAAGTGTGAACTAAGAGAGAGTATCCTGGCTCCCTGTCATGCGGTCCCGTTGCCCGCGCGGGCAGGTGGACCCGCAAGGCTATGTTTGCTTAAGCAACGGACTACTAAGAAAAAGCATTGTGACCAGAGTTATGCAGGTCACACAGGTCCCGGTGTGGTTCCTGGTCACCGCAGGTGGAGTGTGGCTGTCAGTGGTAATTAGAAGCAGGAGGACCCGCAGGGAAAGCTGAGGGGCGCACAGGGCGTCGGAGCTCCTCCTCTACCTCTCTCTGCCCAGATTTTATAAACACGCAATTTCTCTTTCTAAATAATTGCAGACTCCCTGCTATAAATCTCAGTGGCGGTCCCTCCAGATCGTTTATCTTGCTCACAGCGTTCTTCCAATTATGGGAGAAACCTGTTCCCTGCTTCCTTTTTGATTATTGTGCTTATTTATCTGTTGACTGGAGGTGGATAAGGGACAGTGTTTTAAGAGGAACAATGGATTCAGAGAGAACGTGAACCCCGCAGACCCGGCACAGATCTCCCGCCTTGGTGTGGACGTGTTTAAAGCCACTGGAAAGAAGCAGAGTCATCTTGTTAAAAACCAGGTGATATAAATGGAGCAGGAACCATACCCCATACCTCTGTCACTCATTCCAGCAATCAGGAGAGTGATTAGATTTTGAGAAGAAGGACAAGACAAGAGAAGACAACAATGCTGTTAACCCCTTGATTTTGTATTTTGCTAATTGTTTCATTTCCATAAACAGCTCTAAGGGAGTCCATGAAAGGCACAAGCTCTCTCCCCTCCCTAAGCTGGGAGGCATAGAAAGTGATGGTGGTCTGAGACAGGCATATTGAAGTGGTTTGTTGAAGGACTTTCAGCTTGATCTGTGTTGTTTAACATGTACATTTATGGGGTGCCTGGGTGGTTCAGTGGGTTAAGCGTCTGCCTTCGGCTCAGGTCATGATCTCAGGGTCCTGGGATCGAGCCCCACATCGGGCTCCCTGCTCAGCATGGAGTCTGCTTCTCCCGTTCCATCTGCCCCTCCCCACTGCTCATCATGCTCTCTCTCTCTCTCAAATAAATAAATGCTTAAAAAAGAAAAACTTATAACATGTACGTTTATAAACATATGTTAGTTGTATAATCTAAATGTAGTTGTTAATTTAACAGGTGGCGTAGAGAAAAGGCAGCTTGTGAAGGAGGCAGAGAGGGAGCAGACTGGAGATAGCTGGAGAGCAGGCAACGCTGAGAGAGAACTTCCAGAAGGAGAGCCTCCCAGCAAGTGCTAAAAGTAAGACCGGGGCAGGCATGTGGTTCTCCCCGAGGTTCTCAGTTTGGGCAGTCATGGGTTCACCAGTGACGTTAGCAAGAACTGTCTCCGTGGAAGGTTGGAGCATAAGTCACATTGCAGTGAGTGGAGGAGCAAAAGTGAGGGATACAGAGTGGAAAGTTGAAAGGATCCATCATTTCTGTGATGTAAAACAAGGCAAGATTTTTCTGCCAAAAGACTGTAGAGCAGTGGGGAGCACGTTTGAATATTTATATAAAGACTCACTATTAAGACTTACTACTTTACCAGTAAATACAGGAGTTTGGTGAGCTTCAGACTTCTTGCTTGTGAATTAAGGGTGATTCAAATTCATTAATGAATGCTCATTTTGTCTTAGGTAGTATGCTACATACCAAGAACACAAAGGTGTATAAGATGCTGCTGAAATTCTTTCTGATTATAAAATGAATACATAATCATTAAAGAGCATGTAAAAAAATAGAAAGCTACAGAGGGAAAAAAAATACCCTGATATTTTTCTTCCAATATTTTTTTTATGCACACACATTTTTCTCTTAAGTTAGGACAACATTACACTTAGAAATTTCTATCCTAATTTCCCTTCCATGTCATTAACTATTTTTGGAAATGCCGTTTTAATTTCTAGATAATTAGGCATCATATAGATGCACCATAATTTATATAGTAAGCGTGATCTTAATATTAAAAAAATAAAACCCACTTAAATTCAAATTGAGACTTATGTTCTAATATCCATGGAAAGTAGGAGTTGGAAATTGAGGTAGAAATAAATCAGCTTGTCAGCCAGTGAATATTAGCCTTACATTACACGCTAACGTGTCTTCATATTTTTCCTGCTATCCTGGATCTAAAGTAAAAGGCAATTTCTTCCAGTCCATTGCAAATCATGATCTTTCTGTTGTTGTATTGACTGCTGTAGACAAAGCATTTGAAAAGGAAAAATGCAGTTTTACTCACAAGTCCTTACAGGAACAATACCCATCCATGTGAAGCAGGGCTGGCTATAAAATGTATAAGGTCTAGGGCAAAATAAAAATGCAGGATCCTTCATTCAAAAAATAAAAGGAAAGAAGTGCCACTTGATGTAGTAAAATAGGAAGCTTTTCCTTCCTGATAGTCTCTCTCAAGGCATCCTGGTGTTTTTGTTTTTTTTTTAATTTGCTCTTTAATATCATTCTAATAAAAATTAAGCTTAAGTTATTAGCCTGCATTTTGCCCTTCCTCTTTATATTGTGCACTGCCGGTTTTATATGCAAATGTAAGCATTTAACTCCTATGCAAAATCCCCCAAATTACATAAGTCACATTTTGTAGCTCATATATGCATATGTATTTTGTTCTTAACAGAACAGTGGAGACAATGCACAAAACTGACCCAACTGTTTCTCTTTCACTTCTTGGTACACATACTTTCTACCAACACTCTCCATGCTATTTACTGATGAATAAGTTAGAACAGAAAGGAAAAGGGACTATATTTGCCTCGTCTCTCCCTTTCCTTCACTGTCATTTTCGGCATGAGTGGTTGGCTAATACAGGGGAGTTATGATACCAGGAAGAAAGATTATGACCCAGTTTCTTGGTCACTTGGGTTTCTTAGAATGCCATTGTATGCTTTCCATCTTCAAAGTGAGTTCTGATGTGAACAGAAAGTATGGCCTCGTGTGACTGTTAGAGCCCTTACTTACTCTGTTGGGTGTAAACATAACATCTTTCCCTTGTACTCACTTTGACTCTTGCTGAACTCCCACACATCACAGGTTCACGGGAATTCTGTGCTCATGGGGGCATCATGAGGGCAGTAGGTGAATGAGGTGGCAGAGAATGTAGGCGAACACACACATTTCCCGCTCACACGCATGCTCCATTGTCCCAAAGAATTCCCCTACAAATACCAATGGAAAGAAAAAGTTAAGAGTTTCTAGATGCTGAGGTGCCTGGGTGGCCCAGTCAGTTAAGCCTCCAACTCTTGGTTTCGGCTCAGGTCGTGATCTCAGAGTCATGAGATTGAGCCCTGCATCAGGCTCTGTGCTCAGTGCAGAATCTGCTTAAGATTCTCTCTCCCTCTCCCTCTGCCCCTCCCGCTTGTGCTCTCTCTCTCTCTCTCAAATAAATAAATAAATCTTGGGGGAAAAAAAAAAGAGTTTCTAGATGGTGACAGACAGCAGAGCATTAATCCAAGCATGGACCCTTCTGAACACTGGTCCTGGGTAGCTGTCCGGGCTGCACACCCGTAAAGCCAGCCCTGATATTAAGGCATGGACCCTGGCAGGTGAATCTTGGTCATTTTTGTGCTCTGGACTAAAAGCAGTGTGAAGCTAATAAATCTTAAGCTTCTGAGACTCTGCCCTGCCCAGGCTGATGACTCTTGGGAGCTGATGAGAGCCCTAGAATGTTCTAGGTGGGAAGAAAAGCCAGGTTGCAACAAGAAAACATTTCTCTGTAAGAGTTTCTGGTAAACCTAAAGAGATCTCAGAAGAAAGAGGCCTGAACTGTCCAGGCTCTGTAATGTGTTACAAACTTTATGCATTTTTTTAAAAATTCACTGCGTACTTAATTTTGTAATCATTTTCTTAACGAGATGGCCCAATGACATTAGCTTCAGATTCCCCCAGTACTCTAGTTCAGTTGCTGTGCTGAACTCAGAAGGGAAGATACAATTGGCTAATGTGTTTGTTCTCCTACTATTAATCCCAAAAGCCCTGAGCTTTATTAACCTGACACCTGCTGTGCTTGCCCTCTGGACATAAAACAATGTTTGACTTCCATCCAAGGAAAACCTGTTCTTCTCCACTCGGGTCACCATCCCTCCCACTGCGGGGTGTCCCTTTGTCACCGCTGCCTGTCTTCATTCCGTAATGTTCTTATCACTGTTTACCTCAATACACACTCCATGTTCATAAGGTTGTTCTTGAATGCTCTAGGGCCACAGTTAGCTGTTTTCCAGGGAAAGGAGACTTCAAGCCCCTTATCTTTAGAAAATCCAAAATCCTTAGCTCGAACAACCTAAGAAATTCAGTAAATTTCTGAAAATGTACATGAAGCGTTGGAAGAAAAAGTATGGCCTTCGCTAGCTAAATAGTGACTTTCGTCCCGCGGTGAGTCAACAACGTCGGACCTATTGGACTTGAAAAACGAGATCTAGGTGGGGCTTGTTGAGAAACTGACAGGGATGGAAGGTTGGCCACCCAGAGGGCAGGGGTACAGTGGGTGTGGTCAATTTCGAGAACAGTTGGCAAATCTGTTGTGTCAAATATTACAGATATAGAGAGATAGATAATCTGTTTTGATTTTTTTTTTTAGATCTGGCTGCTTGTGGTAAAATTCCAGGAAGCTGGCCCGGGATCCAGAGACAACATGAGGCCCCGGTAAGGGTCATGGTGGGAGACGGGCCTAGCCATCAGGATTCCGGCACAACGGCACAATGATCGTCTATCAAGGGGAGGCAGGAACGTGACTGAGCAGGAACAGCATGCCTAGAGGGGCAGGTGCGTGGAAGGAACTGAGCAGAATGTGAGCAAGTAAGGGATTTTCCAGCCTGGGCCATTCTCGGGGGAGAGAAGCAGAGACATGCAGCTGTAACTAAGGGAGAGGAGACCGCCCAGGATCAGTCCCTGCAGACACAAGATTCCTGGTTCTCAGCAACCTAGCAGACGGAATGGAGCCACAGTGCTCCCAGCCTGGGAGAAGTACAACATTCCAAATCTCACTGGATGGGCAACAGATGACTCAGAAGCTGGGAGGGCCCGAGGCTCTAGGAGGGACCCTTGTGGGCTGGGGCATGAACGTGAGTGTGGCCAGAACCACATGGAAATAATCAATAGGGTTAAAAATGTGATGTATAAGTAGTTATGTAGAATTTTGCCTGCTGTAGGAAACGTATGTGCTTGCCAGGTGGATATTATCAATTAGAAAAGTTATTTTTTAATATTATAGAATTAAACTCCTTGGTTTTTGTTTGCTCACCCTGAAGGTGCATCTAAGGCAGAAGCCACAGGGAATATACTGTTAAGTTGGTCTAGGGGCACCTGGGTGGTTCAGTCAGTTAAGCATCTGCCTTCAGCTCAGGTCATAACCTCAAGTCCTGGGATCCAGTCCTACATAGGACTCCCTGCTCAGCGGGGAGTCTGCTTCTCCCTCTCCCTCTGCCCCTCCCCCTGTTCATGCTCTCTAGCTCTCTCTCTCCCTCAAAAAAAAGAAAAGAAAAGAAAAGAAAATTAGGTTGGTTTAGCATAGTCACACTTTTTTTTTTTTTAAGATTTTATTCATTTATTTGAGAGAGAGACAGAGACAGAGATAGTGAGAGAGCACCAGCAGGGAGGAGAGGGAGATGCATGCTCCCTGCTGATAAGGGACCCTGACTTGGGGCTCGATCTCAGGATCCCAGGATCATGACCTGAGCCAAAGTCAGGTGCTTAACTGACTGAGCCACCCAGACTCCCCTAGCATAATCACACTTCAAACAAAACAAAACAACAAGGTTGTCTCAGGAGACCTGGGGGCTGAAATTCAGTTTTCCAGGACCTACAAGTTCATAATCTTACTAAAGGGAAAGAGACAGACAGACACACACACACACACACATACACACACACACACACAAGAGGAAATCTCTTCAGCACTCAGGTAGATTGTGTCATTAGCCCCAACTTTCCAGGCACCCGTATTAATATTATCCAATCACAACAGCACTGGCTTCAAGGTTGGCAGACTGTACTTCCCAGCCCCTAACTTTGAACTTTGCCATTTGATTCGCTTTGGCCAATGAGATATTAGTGAACGTGGCTCAAACGCAGTTAAGATACGCTTGTGCCTTTGGACTTACATTCATGCGCTCTGGTTACCCACCATGAGCGGACTGTGCCCCAAGTACCCACCTGCCCTTAGCCTGCATCTGAGGATGAGATATAGGAAGCAGACGCCATGCCTGGTGGCTGCTAGTCCAAGAAGGATGAGAGACGTGTGGAGTGAACTTGAATCCTTGGAGCCCAAAGCCTGCAGTCCAGCCAACCCACAGATCTGAAACCATGAAAGCTCATTATTGCTTTTACAGCCAGTGAGTTGTGAGATCTTTTTATGCATGACTATTGCAATAATTGCTAATACCAAGAATGGGGTGTTGCCATCACAAGAACCTCAAATTTGTGGAACTAATATGGTAACAAGTGGCAAAAACCAAGGAAACTATTATAGGAAGCTGAACAAACAATAACCCACATTATGGAGTGGGAAAACATCTGATCAAAGTACTTTGTGGTAATTTGGAAAATAGAAAATGTCCCTATAGAACTTCTCATCTTGGGTGAGGAAGTTTGCAGGAAGAATATTGGATGCAGGAATTGCTTGCTTCTAGATGCACATGGTAAGGCACTGTAGGAAAGAGGAATTGTGTTCAGAAAATAGCTTGTTGGTTGCAAATAGAACTGAGGGGGATTTTAGGGAGTCTAGAATTGTGGGGCAGAGTTATAAAATGAAAAGATTTCTCACAAAGTCAAGGCTGAGCCATCATAACAGAGCCTCTGGGCAAAGACCAAATCTAGGGTCCTACTATTGTGACATAGCCTTGAGTAAAAAGTACCTCAAGGGTAAGACATCTGAAAGGATGAAAATGATAGCTAGTAGACCCCTTCAGCTGGACAAAAGGAAACACTAGGAAGAGTGGGAAGATTCTGGATGGTTCCACAGAAGTCTGATTTCTCAAAAGTACCCGTAATTAAGGCTGGAAAGAGGCACATCTTGAAAGGCATGATGGGTGTGCCTTTTGCCACATGCAGTTGACTGGAATCCCTTTCACAGAAAACCCACAGTTTCAGAAAGCCACATTGGCAAAAACCCTGCCAGCCTGGACAAAAAGAGACTGAGACTGGCAGAGATACAAAATGATCTCTTGGCCCCCAACTTTCAACAGGCAGTGTGATGATTAATTTTATGGGTCGACTTGACTGGGTCACGAGGTGTTCAGATATTTGGTCAAACATTGCTCTGGGTGTATCCGTGATCCTTTTTCTGGATGAGATTAACATTTGAATCAGTAGACTTGCTAAAGCAGATTGCCCCCTACCCCCCACCCCCAATGTGGGTGGTCCTCATCCAATCAGTTGAAGGCTTGAATGGAACAAAAAGGCTGATCCTTCACCGGTAAACTCTTCCTGCCTGACTGCCTTCAAGTTGGGACATCTGAGACATTGGTTTTTTGTTGTTGTTTTTTTTTCTGCCTTCAGACTTGAGCTGAAACATTGGCTCTTCTTGGGTCTCAAGCCTGCCAACATTTGAAATGCAGCCACACCTTTGGCTGTTCTGGTTCTCTAGTGAGCCGACTACAGATCTTAGGACTTGTCAACCTCCATAATCATGTGGGCCAATCCCTTATACAAAATCTGTCTTTATCTATATAGATATATTTATATAAATAATTTATTCATATATACTCTAGTATACATAGATACTCAACTATATATATGATGCTATACTATAGTACATACAGTATAATGTAGATGTACTATCACTTCTGTTTCTCTGGAGGACTCTAACAAAGGCAGAAACTTACTGAGACTGAGAAACAGCTTGCTGTCAACAAGAGCAAATTCCCTAGCGCCCTCTCCAGAGGTGGTCACGGTGTTCGATGGAAATGAACAAACACTCAGAGGGCCTGCTACATCATCTGGCAACATCAGCCTAGTCAGATATTAGAACTTCTGTGAGCTGGTGACTGCTGTTTTCCCCATTCTCCTGCCTTCAAAAGGGAATGTTGACTAGAGTGGTCTTTTCCTCTCCCATCTTGGTATATTGCGTGGAAGGGCCCACGTATGTACCTGGACTTGATGAGAACCAGATGTGGCAGCAGATGCTGAGATTGGATGAAACATTAATGGATCTCCATGACGCAGGTGAGGGTATTTTGAATGTGGAGGTGTATGTGAGGAATGAGGCCAATAGGGTCAGCGGCAGTAAATTCAACCATCGGTCCCAATTCTTCACTCCGTAGTAGTAGTGTTGAAATCCACACACTTGCCATTGCCACGGTCTCTAGTTGAGTGGATTCACTTCCCTGCACTTTGAGTTTGGACATCACCCCATTGCTTGCTTTTCCAGGGAGGCATTAGTTGGAAAGATGTGAGCAGAAACTTGAAATGTGCTTGCTCGGTTGACTTCCACTCCCGCGCTCCAGTGAAGAACGTTCCCAAAGTGTATTCTTCAGCTGCACCCTCAGCCTGGGCCTAAGAATGCAGGACGTGGAGCAGATCCTATGTCCTGGATGTCCGCTGCTTGAAAAGGTTCCAGATGCTGAGGGAACAGACCTGAACCCAGAAGAGCTTGAAGCCCCGAGCCAGGAGCCAGCCCAGCCCAAACACTGCCCAGTGAACACGAGAACAAGCGAGGGCTGTTTGAAGCCACTACGATTTTTTTTTTCACAGATAAGATTTTTTATTTGTCACCATTAAATGTCTGAATTTTAAACAGATTCTTGGATTGGTGGCTCATATCCATCAGCTTGCTCAACTTTAGCACCGGTCTCATCCCCAGTAGCTTTTCCAGAAGCCACTACATTTTGAGGATTTTATTTATGATATTCCATTATTGTGGCAATAGGTGAATAAAACAAGTAACATTCAGGTACCAGATCAAAGCTTTTTTTTTTTTTTTTTTTTTTGGCTAGTGGCTTTAATTTCAGCTTGGGTAGCATTATTATAGAGATCGAACACTTTCAAACCGTGGCCCAGAAGCATCTATAAGCATCTGGAATGTCTGTGTTTTGGAATTACTAGCCAAAGGAGACATCTGGCAGGATCAGTCTCAAATCAGAAACCCTAGTGTAAGTGCCCCCGGCCCCAGGCTGAGCTGCCCCATCCCTGCTCCCTGGCCCTGCATGGGCCCCTGTCCCTGCCTGGCAGCCACGGTATTTGGTACAGAGCGCGGAACTTGGAACCCAGACAGTAACTGAGAATCAGGAGCATGAAGCCCCTCCCGCCTTAAGCCGTGGGGTTTGCGGGCTCAGGCTGGCAAGACAGTTTTGGCATCAGATTTGATTTCTACAGGCTTTTATCTTCATTTTTTCTGTGAATTTTCCTAGCAACCTGTTTTTATTTTCCAGGGACAGTAGCTTATTATTTCTCTGGGTGCTCATTGAAATTTGCTTCAGTTTTCCTCTTTTTGCAATCCCGCCTCTGCCCTGTCCAAGGTACTTCGTGTATGCTGATGTTTTGGGGTTTGTCCTTTAGGTTTGAGACTTTATCCAAATGTCCATGGTCCTTAAGTATCCGCTCCTATTCATTCAAGGGACGGGAAAAGCTGACTGGGAGCCCTAGGTGTGTGTGTGGAGGGGGTGCTTTTTCACTGGCGTGCTCTCTAGGGGAGGACAGGAGGTGAGCGGAAGCTCATGCTGGGGACTGCTAAATCACAGTAAGTGGAGACTTTTTCCCTACAAGAGACAACTCAGCACATTCTGGACCGTTGCTCGTTAGGGAGCAGGATGGGAAGAAGGCGTGAGGTTCTCTCAGGGCAGCATGGAGATGCTCACTGAATCTCCCTGTGTTCCACCTATGGCTTCACCAGCATCCCTCTCTGCCCAGCGTCAGAGTCCCCGGTGTCCCCAGTACAAAGTCAGCTCCCATCCCATGCAGGGAAGAAGGACTCCTTATGGTAGGGGCCTAGGGAGGGCCAACAGCTCCTTGTAAGGCCAAGTCCTTTGTTTCCAGCCTCTCGTCACCTGCATGGCCCCTCCTTTTGATGAGCACTATGCGTCCGCCTCCTCTCTCGCAGCAGCCTCCCTCTGGAAGGGCTGCTGTGTGACCTACTCCACCTCCAATCATCCGTGCTCCTTCTGGATTCCAAAGCCATGTTCAACTCTTGCCTCAGCTTCTGTTACGTCTCCTGTTTTTGTTGCTTTTTTGGGATAATAACCCTGGAAAGTTTTGCTCCCTTCATTTTAGCAAGGCTTTGGTAGAGAAAAGAGATAAACATCTGTGATCCACTTGCCACATTGAAATATTCCTAGTGCAATGATGGACATAAAAATGGCCACTCAGAATAAACTTCTCCATGAATGCAGACATGAGAAAAATGAATATATTCCTATAGGTACGCATGCATTTTTGTGTGTTTGCTTGTGAGTAGGCATGTGTTTGTGTGAAGGTGCGTCTCCTAAGATTGCCTGGTCTCCCCACACTATTAATGGGAAAATCACAACGACGGCAAACTTTCATCTGTTCAAATAACTCACTCATTTTCTTTCCTTTTTTTTTTTTTTTAAGATTTTTTGCATTTTTTAAAAAATAATCTCTATACCCAAGGTGGGGCTCAAACTTACAACCCTGAGATCAAGAGTCGCATGCTCTACCAGCTGAGCCAGCCAGGTGCCCCTAAGTCACTCATTTTCAAAGTGACTCCCAGTTACCTGTTTCCGGGATTTCAGGGTTGCATTTGATATGCGTCTGGAAACCACAATGCCTCCTGCTGCCACAACGTACATCACTCACTCTGCTGCCCGTGCACTTGACAATTTCTCATCCCGGTCCCTGTGCATGGTGATGTGAAAAAGAAAACAAGATGGGCGCCTGGGTGGCTCAGTCGTGAAGCATCTGCCTTCGGCTCAGGTCATGATCCCGGGGTCCTGGGATCGAGCCCCGCATCGGGCTCCCTGCTCCACGGGAAGCCTGCTTCTCCCTCTCCCACTCCCCCTGCTTGTGTTCCCTCTCTCACTGTGTGTCTCTCTGTCACATAAATAAATAAAATCTTTAAAAAAAAAAATCCTAAAAAAAAAAAAAGAAAGAAAAAGAAAACAAGAGGCCCCAAGTGGGGTCTGTAAACCAAGACTGCATAGCTAACCTAACTACAGTTACCACCCACCAGCAATGTAACCTTTCACCAGACAACATGGGATTTCCTGGTCGATGCTAGGAAATTTACTAATAAGACTCCTTCCACTCCCCTTACAAGGGCAACCTTGCCTAAACAGTGCACTCCCTGTTAACTAATTCCTTTCCTCTTTTTTTTTTTTTTTACACCCATTGTCTGCCTTTAAAAGCCTCTCCATTATTTAGTTCGGTGGAGCTCTCCTCTACTTGCTAGATGGGATGCTGCCCGAGTCATGAATCATTTAAATCTGATCCCATTAGATCTCCGCATTTACTCTGTTGAATTTTGTTTTTGAACAGTTCCAGTTAAGAGAGGCCAAGAGAATGATCTCACGAAGCTTGCCAACAGCCAATCCTCGCAATGCTGGACCACTTGTGGGGTCTAAGTAGGAAGAAATGCCCTCTTCCTGTCTCCTGCCATACTTGAGGTCCTACAAGCTTATGTCTGACATCTTATATGCACTATACAAGAAAGTAGCCCCTTCAGTCTCTGTCTTGCCCAGAATTTCCAAGAATCTCCCACGAAAACAGCTGGCTCACCTTAGGGGTTCACGCCTTCTAATTATAGTCACTGAAACTCAGCCCAAAGGGAGAAAGGAACAGATGTCAAGGGTCTGGTCTTCTCCATTGTCCTCATTCCTCATCCCTGGAGACTCCCCTTCACCAACTCTTCCCTCTTCCCAGTTGCAAACAAAAGTAGATGCCACAGATGTGGTGCTTAACAGGGTGGGTTGTTTATACTAGGAGAGCTGATCCTGCAACCAGACAGTCATAATGCCCTGAAGTGTGTGTGTGCGTATGTGTGTGTGTGTGTGAGAGAGAGAGAGTGTGTGTGTGTGTGCGCGCATAAGCACAAACATTTCTTTTCAGATTTCTATATGTTTGGAATTGGGGAAGGTGGGGTTAAAGAGATAAAGACTTACTTTTGTTCTTCTTTTTGAGCAATCCCCTTAGAATCGTGGGCAGTTTGGTAGATATTCCAGATAACTCTTCTAATGCTGAGTTAAAACTTTCCCATAAGGGTAAATAAAGAACATGACATTATAACCAAAGCAAGTGCATACTACATTATCAGGGACTGAGGACTGACATGTCATTTGGATTGTCCATTTCGTGGTCCTGCTGTGGGCATATGGTCCAGCTTCCCTTTAGTGATGACATAGTAGGGTCTAAGTCTTACGAACACTTAGATCAAATTGAAGGAGAAATAAGAAAGCAGAGGGTAGGTAAATAGGTATAATTTTCAGGGGACTGAAAGACTCTAGCAAGCAAATATTGATTTCAGTGCTTGGTACACAAATGAGTGTATTGATCCTGTCCTTTTCGTTGAGAGTGCCCCATTTCATTTTCTACTCAATTGCAGACTATCATTTAGGAGTGAGCAGTCTGATTCAGTGAGCCAGGGCAAGTCTAATGACTTAACTTTTAAGATCCCACAGTGCACTCTGACTTTTGAAAAATCTCAATATTCTTAAGGCTCCAGAAGGAAGAGGAAACTTCATTGATTCTTTCAACAGTGACATATTATAACATTACCAGCAATCAAAATTCGGCTTCATTAGAAGAACATTGAAATAAAGACATCCCTGGGAGGCATTTTGTATTCCAGACTGCTTAGCTTCTTCCTGCTGCTTCCCACAGCCAGGACTCTGGTATTCCAGAGAGGGAGATGAGAAGAGCTGCTCGAACGGCCTCAGGATGGCCTTTCGTGATATGTTGTGTCCGCTATGGCGATAAAGTGTCCCCGGAAACAGCTACTTAACAGGAAACTAGGCTATGACGGGCATTCAATAAACAGGACTTCAACATTTCGGGTGAGAAAAGTCTATGAAATGAAGAAGCAATCATTTGGGTATCTCTTCACTCTTTTTCATGGTTACAAAGGCATCACTTACACACCAATGGCGATTTCATTTCAGAAATCAGGGGCATGCATGAACGGTGGCCTCATTTGACATTGGGAGGTGACACTGCAGAGGGAGTAAAAGGATCAGGCTTGGACTCAAGTAAAAGGATTTCAGGGCGCCTGGGTGGCTCAGTTGGTTAAGCGACTGCCTTCGGCTCAGGTCATGATCCTGGAGTCCCGGGATCGAGTCCCGCATCGGGCTCCCTGCT